GGGGGGGGGTCAATAGTAGCCTTGGTCACTAGAGATTGATCTGCGTTCACCCCAATACTTTTTCAGCAATATAAAAACTAGAATGTATAGTTTCCTCAAAGGATAAGTGTGTCTGTCTTTAAATATTAATACAGTAGTCCCTCGCTACTTCATGGTTCGTTTATCGTGGTTTTTCAAAGTAAGATTGGACATGACACAATTGGCTGATTGATGGATGAGCCATGGGTTGTTAATTTACAATAAATTATTTTATGATTTTGCACCTGTGTGCAGCCCGCAAGTGCAGGGTGAAGCTCCCTCCTGCAGCCTGTCATGATCTCCTTCTCTGCCACACAAACATTACATTTCTCCTGCTGCATCGGCTTTGTGAAGAGTTAACCTTTTGCTGTCCAGATGCACCGATCGACTTTTGTCTTCCAACTTAAAATTCAATGTATGTCACATCCTAAAATCATCACACCTTACTTAGTTCTTAATTTAATAAAATATTGCATAGTACTGCATTTAATAGCCATAAAAACTTATAAAATAAGCAAACACATTTACATTAAAGTATTTATTCGACCATTTTATACACAACAAAAATAAATAGCTTAAAAAGCAGTAATAATAAAACTGCACGGTCCTTCACTGAAGGGATATTAGCCCAATAATCATCCTTTTTTACATTATATTATACTGTAAATCAAGAAAAGGAATGAAAAACTCAAATATACACACACGTGTCAGAACAGAAAATTACAGAATTTTTGCATATGATAATCATATAAAACCAGTCACAAAGTCATAATAATTAGTGCTACTTTTCATATACAGCATAGATAGTTATAACTTAACCTTGTACTAACACCTCCAGAGAAAGAATTCTTGCAACAATAATTGTTTGTCCCTCTGTTCTTCTCAAATACACTAATGCACCAAAAAGGAGTGAAATTAAAAGGTAAAGAATGTTTTTATGGTCATGGGATAAGTGTTTTCTGATCAGCAATGAATACGTACTTTCCAGGAAAAATATTTTACATATGTGTACATTTAAACCTAATCAATATACCAGTACATGTATTTGACATCTGTTATTTCTGTAGAAAAACTTTGTGGTTGTGCAGGATGTGTAAAACTGCTTTAAAATTGTTCATAGTCACAGTGATATTATCTACATCAGGGGTGTCCAGATGTTTTCATCATGCAAGCTTTCAAATGACCAAGTCAAAGTGATCGACCTACTATAAGGCCTCATTTACACCAGAACAACCTCTGGAAATATTAGTGTTTTTTCAATGTTTATTGGAGGTAATTAACAAAAAAATTAGCTGGTTTACACGAAAACGCTGTAGTTTCCATGTCAGTCAGGTTGCCAGATAAGAAATGATGAATTATAGTACTGTGGCTTTAAAATGGTAGTATTTTGACCTAAACTGTCATATGTTCTGAGTAAAGATGTTCTAAGATGAGGTGTATGTTGTGTTTGTTGAACATGGGCACAGAAAAGGAGGGGTAAATAAGACATTTTAATTTATCTGGCAACCCTGACGGAGGGCTCAGCTGCATTCATTGTGCATGCAGCATTTGCATGACAGTTACGTCCAAACTGGTGAAGACACCAATGTCTCTTCGGAGCCTGGATTTTATTAGTTTTGCTCCTACATGCTGAAAAAGGGCGAGCAGCACAAAACACTCTGCTCTCTGCCATTTATTATAACTGTTGTTATTTATTATAACTGTTGTTAGAGCAGAAACACTTTGGACAGCAGCCAGCTGTAGTGTGCATGTGCCACTTCACACTTGGAGCAGTTCACACCTCCATGGGGGTTCCCCTGAAAATCTCCATTTTGAGACCTGAATTCAGAAACCTTCAGTTTCAGATAGAATGAGGCTGTTGTCTGTAAATGAACAAACGTTTTATGTCGTGTAAACAGGGCCCCAGACTGGCTGCCCTGTCTGTCAATCAAGAGACAAATTTCATAGATGGATGATAGACTGACATCTATTTATTAATGCCATGCCATCTACACATAATATCTTTGAGCTCGACCGGTAGATCGCAATCGATGTATTAGGCACCCCTGATCTACACTATAATGTGTAGAAAATGCATTCACTATTTCATGAGAAAAATATCCTGAGGCCAGCCCCAAGCCACGAGTGAAGGAACTCAACATAGCACTAGCTGCACTTCTGACAGCTTGGGGCAGCACCTTACTTTCATGTAGCATGCATGAACAGGCTGCCGTAACTAGAGCCAAAATTGATGACACATATGAGGATTAGTTACCAATCCCAGTTTTCAGGACAGAAACAGCAAACACTGAACACATCCTCTCTGCATGTGAGTAGAAAAGAGAAGCAATCACACGTGAGCACTTTTTCCCGAGGTCTCCTAAACAAAAGGTAAATGGCTCACTCAAAGCTTTACAGGGTACTGGGTTATGTGGAGGTATATTTACATTGTGCTGGTTTTTGACAGCAGATTTCATGCCAAAGTTTTAAGCCCACCTCAAGAGCCATTAACTCTAGAAGAGCTAACATCATGCTGTATTATCTCACCTCAAAATGTTAGCGCCTTCTTGAGTGAGACCAAAAAAACTTCTCATCCCAGAGAAAGCAGACACCACATCTAAAGCATGTACATATTGAGGTAGATATAAATAGTTTTTTCGTTCAACAGTGGTTGTCTAATTTAAATTAACAACACAAAGCAATGTTTAGGTTAGCTCCTTTGATGTGACTTATTGTGGTCATGTTAATACAAATACAGAAGGCCTCCTGGAGTAACACTCCCATGCTGAAAATACACAAAAATAGTTCTCTTAAGGCACAACATTTTACAGAGCAACTAGAACCCATTTACAGTCTCAGAGACATAATTAACTTATATTTTGTAGATTGTTGAAATTAAGCTTTGTTTTTTCTGTGAGTAATGTGTCAGTTTTGATTTACTGGTGCCTGATTTGCAACTTTTATTATTGTTTTGGATAATTTTTTGTAGCAATACATAAAACGGCCTAGAATATACCAGATACATACCTGATTCTTACCTGTTTTTCTCTGGTTCATACTTTCCTGGTATTTACCAGTTATGTACTACATAACCAGCAAGTACAGGTACAGGTAAAAACCCGTAAATATATGGTGATAATTCACTTCATAATACAACTCAGTTTCCATGGGTACTTGGTATGTACCTGCTAAAAAGCCTGCTAGAGTCATGCCTATTATGAACTCTGTAAATGTACACTTTAAGTAGCAAGTATGTACCCAGTAAATACATGGTAACAAGTTACTGCATAATAAAGAAGTCCCTTTAGGTACCAGTTATGTACCATACTCAGTAAGTAAACGTGAAAGTGCTATGTATTGCCATCATGTATGTGCCCATGTAATGACAAAATGTATACTCTGCATTTGACCTATCACACATAAGGTACACCCAAGTGGAGCTGCAGGCAGTTATTTAAGTGCCCAGGGCCGGCAATGCGAGCAGTTAGGGATTAAATGTCTTGCTCAAAGACACACTGATATAAGGGCATGGCAGGGAATCAAACCAGACATTCCAGTCCAAAGTCAGCTGCCTTACCACTGCACCACAACTGCTCAAGTAAAGGGTAGGTACAAGGTAAATAACAGGCAAGTACTATGTCCACATAGGTACTCAACAAGAACCAGGTACATATTTTGGGAGTACCAGGTACATACACAGTAAATACCAGTACGTACCTGGTATGCATCAAGTAAGTACCAGATACATACCTAGTAAGTGCAGAGTACTAGAGAAATATCTGGTATGCACTTGTTATGGAGCAGGTAAATACCAGCTACTTACCCAATGAGTACATTTTAAAATTATTAAAAAAAACAAAAAAACAACTGGACTCCTATTTTGTCATTGAAAGTGTTTCATTTTCCATCAGGGAATCTTTCTTACTTGAGAACTGGAGAGTATGGCATTCTAAGCTTTAATCTGCATGAGGCACTTCATTGCTCAAGCTAGACTGACACACAGATTAAACTCCATTGGAGAGTCATCAGCGTATCTGTTAGTCTGATAAGTAACCAGGTCAGTACTGGCTACATTGCAGGCTGTATTTTGTTAGCTACCTCTCTATAATAATTTTGTGTTGTTTTTGCGGATGTTTGTGCCTTTGAACCTGCTACTGGCGCCCACCTTTTGAGCCCATTTTTCAGTTTTCCATCCATCCATTTTTTTTATCCACAGTTGGTAGATCCAAAAGACAAAAAAAAAAGGAAGCAAAGTTCACTGTAATCACGTTCCTCATAAGCAGTCCTGGTTGTTACAATCCCCAGAGACTGGCTCTGGGGTTTTGTTTGGATCACACTTCTCCGGCTCTACAGTCTTCCCAGTGTAGTCTATGCAGAATACACTCCGACGACGCTCACCCTGGCCACAAGTCCGTGAACAGGCAGACCAAGGTCCCATTTGCCAAATGGGGCATGGCAGATCCCCACAAGGCCTTATGTCAGTGGGCTTTAGTTCTTTGTCACACTGGCTAGAGTAAAAGCCTTCTCTATCTTTGCATTCAACAGTCCTCCTGGACCATCCAGAGCCACAGGTCTTGGAGCACTCAGACCATTCTCCCGGTACCCATTCAGGCACACTATCAAATGTAAGCATAGACAAGTAAGAGCCCTTTTTCTCTTTGGACTTGTTGAATGTCACATCTCTAGGGACAAAAAAGGTATACTTAATTTTGGGGGAATTGTCATCACCTCCTGTGGCCAGGACTTGGATAGTGATGGCCTCCTTCAGCTGCCTGAAGCTCTGGATCCTCTCTAACGTGGTGGAAGAGCCACTGTATTTTAACACTGCACCCAGCACTGGAATGTCCTGCTCCACTGTAGACACAGAGAAGTTACCATTGAGGATGTAAGTGCCACTCTCTTTTTTCACTGCCAGGTAATTCCCATCATGTTTCAATCCTTTGTGGCTGCGCTGCTTGATGTCAATATTAGTAGCACCAATAGGGATTGTGACAATGTCACTGTATCCATATCTGGGAGAAGACAAAAATAAAAATTAGATTGTGCACATTTTAGCAACACAAATCTTTTACACTCAAACAGCTAACTTGGAGCTTTAAAATAATAAGCATCACAGCACTCTCTCTGTGTTATAAGGACAAAGTTGAAGGAACTTTGGGATAAACTTGTAATTTTTCAAAGAGAGTTGTGGGACAGCTATGTGGAGTCAGTATATTACCTGCAGTAGACAAGTGAGAAATCACGTTAGAGAATTGGGGAGGACATCCCTAGGAGGAGTCAAGGTGAAACTGATACTTAGAGTTAGGCTTTTTAAGAGCAAATTTCTACCATTTAAAACATCTCAAACTAAAGAAATAATATAGCATGTAAAGCATCGGCATCAGAAGTATGTGTAATGTGTGTGTGTGTGTGGGGGGGGACGGACACTGGTATGTGTTTGTGTATGTTTGTGTGTGTTTGTGTGCATGTGCGTGCACACACATGCACCTTGTGTGCAAAAAAGTGTACATAGTGTACAAAAAAGCAGCATTTCACCTAGATTTCCTTTAATTCTACACATTTAAAGGGTGTTTTTCACCAAGTTTGTGTAAATTCAGCTGTGGATTTAAAGACATTTCAACTTTAATGCACTTTAACACACAGCATCAGGTCGGCACTATTTATTTGTGTTTATAAAGAAATTAAAAACATCACTAGACAAAGGTGCAGGACTTATGTTCAACACTACTCATCTAAATGATGTTTCTCACGAAACTTGAGGACAAGAAGGCGCGGGGTTTAAGATTCATTTCATAACATATGTAAACCTGCAGTAACTTATGTTGTTTCACTAGTGACCTTCAGAAGAAACTGCTAGTCACTGTAAGCTCAGCTTGGGTAAGCATCCCTAAACACTGGTTCTGTATCTGCAGGTTAACAAAAATGGCATTAAGCTTCTCAATTCACTTAAAGAAAGCAGGTAAATGTGTAAATTTAGAATATTTGGTTATTTTAGTTATTTTTTTATGCTATATAGCTTATTAGTTTATTTTCCTATCTAATATTATTATCTGATAAGGATAAAATGGCCGCGCTTTCTACAGTTGCAACTTTGTGCACTCCGCCCATCTTTTGGACGACTGTACGTACATATTCGCGTTGTACCTCAGTGCAATTCCAATAAAGTTTATTCTGATTTTGATTAAATAATCTTATTGTATCATCCAACAATGGCATTTCAGCTAGAGATAAAAACTAACTGCTGTTCAGAAACGATGATGTTAGGACCACATAAATACATTTTAGTGATCCCCAGCCTAACTGTGACATCGTATACACCCAGATATAACAACTGAATTGGAGTAAAAGCAATGACTCGTTTATTGGCACCCTTACATTGCTTTGTTGTAGGAGCCTGTGATCTTTCTGCAGCCGAGTCCGTTCCCTCCACACAGTCCACACTTATCCACCCTCTTGCTGGATCCGATCAGCTGATCACAGCCTGCTTTCACACACTGGCCTTGAACACAAACCGATGTGGTATCGGGGCCACAGGTGGTCCCATCAATCACCTGCAGCAACAAAGGAAGTGTTTGTACTTGTTTCGCTTTAAGTGCAATGCAACTGCCAAATAAATGTTGACTGTTTGTTTTTATTTCTCAGTGATCCGATGAGAACAGCTTTTGATTTGAAATGATAAAGGGCTTTAAACAGATGTGAATTTGTTCTGTTAATATGTTGAATGAAGCAATTGTCATTTTGTTTAGATTCTTAAATCTTGACGTACATGCTTTTCTGGGATATTGTTGTAAAAAGAAAGTGGACCTGGTCATCCAATTGTGGCTCACTCACAAACCACCGTAAATGCTCCTGTGGGCAGTCTAGGGAGAAAAATTTGTCCAAACCATACTTGAAACTTCTGTGCATGCAACTTTCAAGAGTTTTGTGAAAAATCAAGAAATAAACTTTTTTTTTTTACAGAACATGTACTTCTTGAGCTTTCCTAAACAAATTCAAGCTCATAGCTAATAAAGGCAGTGCAATAACAGTAAAACACAAAAGTGATGCACAGTCATTATACGATTCAAGTGCCAGTCTTCCACTTGTGCTATTTGGGCCACAAGTCAGAAGTATATCCAAATTTAATCCCTATGTTTCGTGAGCATGCAGTGCATGCAACCTGCACACAACACAGGAGCTAGACTCTTGGTAGATTATATGGAAAGAAATGAATATGGAGCATGTAGCATTGTAGAAGGACTGTCGCCATTCTGCCACAACAGTTGTTACAATACAAGGGTACTGGACCTCAAATCAGAATCAGAGGAAAAACTGAGGAATGGCACAAAACTGTAATGGCTTTGCTAATAACCTCAACAGCAGAATATAAAGCAGCAGAATTGCTGGTAAGTATTGTGATCTGTGGCGAGAACAGCGAACTGGTGGAAGAGGACTTAGAGAGGTGGAGGTTGAAAGATTGAATTTATGCACTTGAAAAAAGAGGAATGAAAGTCAGCCGTAGTAAGACAGAGTACATGTGTGCGAATGAGAGGGAGGAGGTGAAACAGTGAGGCTACAAGGAGCAGAGGTCACAAAGGTGCAGGACTTCAAGGACTTGGGGTCCAGTGTCCAGGAAAATAGGAAATATGGTAAAGAGGTGAAAAAGAGAGTCCAGGCAGGATGGAGTGGATGGAGAAAAGTTTCAGGAGTGATTTGGGTCATAAGGGTGTCAGCAAAGGTCAAAGGAAAAGTTTACAAGACAGTGGTGAGGCCAGGTATGTTGTATGGTCTGGAGACAGAGACATGGGCAAAAAGACAGAAGAAAGAACTGGAAGCGGCAGAAATGTAGATGTTGAGGTTCTCCTTAGAAGTGACAAAGATGGATAAGATTAGGAATGAGATCATCAGAGGTTCAGCACAGGTTGAACAACTGGGAGATAAAGTTAGGGAGGCCAGACTGAGATGGTTTGGACATGTCCATATTTGGGCCACAAGTCAGAAGTATATCCAAATTTAATCCCTATGTCTGGACTTGTTCTGGACAGCAGTTTTGACATGTCTAGAAGAGGGACAGTGGTTTGGACATGTCCAGAGGAGGGACAGTGGTTTGGATATGTCCAGAGGAGGGACAGTGGGTATATTGGTAGAAGGATGTTAGAAATGCAGCTGCCAGGAAAAAGACAAAGAGGAGATATATGGATGCAGTTAGAGAGGACATGGAGGTAGATGGCGTGAGGACACAGGATGAAGAGGACAAAGTGAGATGGAGCAGGATGACTCGCTGTGGAGATCCCTGAAGAGGGAAAAGCTGAAAGAAGAAGAAGAAGAAAAGAAGGGAAGCTGTTCCAAGAGCTGAAGAGATAAGTCACAGGATGACTTAGGTCGTTTTCACACCTGATAGTCCGGTAGACTCAGTTCGGTTCGGGACCAATATTCATGACCTTTTGTTTACATTTGAGCTGTTGCGTTTGCATTCACACTGCACTGTGCAGTCGAGTCAACCTGTTGAACCAACCTATTCCCCCGCTC